TTAAATAAAGCGCCAGGACCAGGACGAAGTCCGGTATTTTATTGGTCGGTACGCGTTTTAATTTTTCAATTACCTTATCAATTTCCCACGAATGTGGTGGCCTGTGCGCCTCTTAATTCCTTATCAATTACCTTATCAATTCCCACGAATGTGGTGGCCTGTGCGCCTCTTAATTCCTTATTAATTACCTTATCAATTTCCCACGAATGTAGTGGCTTATGCGCTTTTCAATTCCTTATCAATTACCTTATCAATTCCCACGAATGTGGTGGCCTGTGCGCCTTTCAATTCCTTATCAATTACCTTATCAATTTCCCATAAATGTGGTGGTCTGTGCGCATGTCAATTCCTTATCAGTTATTTACGTAATACTTATCAATTACCTTATCAATTACCTTATCAATTTCCCATAATAATTTTTTAATCAATGTAGTATAAAATACCGGACTTCGTCCTGGATAATATTAATTTTATTTTTCCGAAAAAATATTACGTTTAAATTTTTTAAAAATTAATAAAGTAATTAATAAAAACATACATTGCGAAATATTTTAATAATTACGTAAATAACTAATAAATTAATAAGTTTTAACATTTATAAATTTAATTAATTATATTTTACATTGTTTTTACATTATTTAAATGTTTTTTTTAAATACATTTTTTATAACTTTTACACTTTAAAATCGATTAATTAAATGCATCGTTTTTTATTTTTATACCGGAAATATGTTTTAATTAAATGCATTTATTTAACGTTTTTAACTTTTAACTTTATAACTTTTAACTTTATAACCATATGTTTACATAATTAACCAAAATGACAATAATTTTACAAATGGTCAATTTAAAAAATGACCGGTATTTAAAAATAAAAAAATAAAAAAAAATAATAAAAAATATATATAATTAAAAAAAAATAAAAATAAAAAAAATAAAAATAAAAAAATAAAAAAATAAAAAATAAAAAATAAAAAATAAAAAATAAAAAATTAAAAATTAAAAAAAAAAAAATTAAAAAAAATAAATAAAAAAAATAAATAAAAAAAAGTTTTTTTTTTTTTACAGGGTAACCGCCTTTGGGACTTAAAAGTTTGAGCGGTTCTTTCGGAAAGATTTAACGGACAGTTTTTTTTTTTTTTTTTTTTTGTTTATATATTTTTGGGTTTTTTTTTTTTTTTTTTTCCTTTCTTTTTTTTTTTTTTTTTTTTTCCCCCCCCCCCCCCCCCCCCCCCTTTTTGGCCTTTAATTCCCTTTTGGCCCCCATTTCCCATAACAAAATTTCGAGACGGATCAAAAGCTTGCAACTGTCCGTCGATGAAATTTTATAAATTAATTTTATTAATATATTTATATTAAAATTACCGTTATTAATAAATATTTTTAAATATAAAAAAAATAAAAAAAAAATAGCAACAATTATTTTACATATTAAATAAATACATTTAAATTTTAATTAATATTATTTATAAATTTAAAATTTAATAACTTATAAATTATAATTTATTTTATTTTAAAAAAAAATATTAAAAATAAATTAAAATTAATAAATTAAATAATAAATTTAATAATAAAAAATATAACAATTAAATAAAAATAACTTATATTATAAATTTTATAATTAAATTATATTAATAAAAAATAAAGGAAAAAATATATTTAATAAAAATTAAATATTTATAAAATAAAATAATTTAATAAATTTTAATAAAAAATTAAATAAATTTTATTAATAAAGGTAATTTATTATTACTTAATTGTTATTTTTTAAAATATATTATTATTTTTTATTTTATATTTACAATAATAACGTAATTTTAAAATCGTTTATAATTTAAATACGGTTTTATTTATAACATATTTTAACGTTAAATTTAATTATAAATAGATTTATAATTTAAAAAAAGTAAAATTAATATACGAAAAATATGTTAAAAGTATTATAAGTTACGTTAATATTACTTCCATTTTTTAACCTTTTTTAAATAATAAAACATATTTAATACTTTTTTTTTAAACTTACCGTTTTTATTAATAATTTTAAAGTAAAAATCTTTTACTTTATTCATTTATATTTTTATTTTACGTTTTTATATTTTTAACTTTTACGTTTATTTATTAAACGTTATTTATATATTAATACTTTTATATTAACTTTATTATTGCTTTTTTTATTTATTACATTAATGTTAAAATATTTATTAACTTTTAAATTTTTAAAAACAACGCTTTTAATTAATTTTTTACATATAATAAAAAACTTAAATAATAATAAACGTAATATTAACATATTATTTATATTTATAAAATAATTAACAATAATTTAAATCATTTTCGGTTTTATAATTTTTAAGTTATTTATTTTTGTTATTATATTAATAATAATTTAAAATTAATATATAACGTTAAAAATTTAAAACTTTATTAAAAAGATATTATGGTAAAATATCCGGTAACATTTTAAAAAAATTTTAAACAAATTATAATTTTCTTTAAAAATATTACCTTTAAAATAACGGTTATAAAATTACACTTTTATAAATTTATTTATAAATAATTTAATAATATTATCAAAGAAATTAAATATAAAAAATTAAATAATATTTTTTTGGTTTTAATTAATAAATGGTTATTAATTAAAAATATTAAAACGTTACGCATTTATAAAAATAATAATATAAGGTTTAAATATCTTTTTATAAAAACTATTAATAAGTTTATTAAAATAAAATTAACTTATTTTTTTTATAAATTTAACACGTTTAAAGGAATTTTTAATAACTTTTAAATTAAAATTATATAAATTTAAAACAATTTCAATAAAAAATTATTAAAAAATAATAATAACAATACGGTTAATCAGTTATTAAGCTAAAACATTTACAAATTTATTAAAATATTAAAATAAATAATAAATAAGTTTATTGTAAATAAAGTTAAAATTATTAATTAAAAATATTGTAAATTTATTATAAACATCCGTAAAAAATTTTTGTTTAAAATAAATGACATTATGGTTAAATTTACAGTTGTTAAATACGAGTTAACCGCGTTAAAAAATTAAGTTAACGCTTTAAAAAAATAACTTAAAAACGTTAAAAAATAAATATTAAAAAATATTAACAGTTTTAACTTAATTAAAAAAAAAGTTTAAAATATGATTATAGATTTTTTTAACGTTTTTATAATATTTAAAAAGTTATATAACGTTATAATAAAATATATTATAAATTATTTTATTTTTAAATAAAAAAAAAGAATTTTACGTAACGTTATTATAAATAAAAATATTATTAAAACATTTAAAGTTTTAATTTTAAACATAATAAAACTAAAAGCTTTAATATATATTAAAAGTAAATTATAAAATTTTTTACCAATTTAAATAAAATAATAATTAAAATTATAATTATAACCGGAAATTTTTAAACCGATTTTTAACTGGATGGGTTTTATACTTTTATAATAAAACACTTAAAATTTAATATTATTAATATTTAAATTAAAAAATTAAAAACAAGATAAAATAAGTTTATAAATTAAATTAAAAAAAAATAAACGCCGTAAAAAATAAATAATTGTTAATATTATTAAAAACATTTTAAATTTATCGATAAATGGCATGAAAAAAACAAGGTTATTAATATAAAAAAAAAATATTAAAAGTAATTTTAATTATAACTTATATTTTATAACGTTATATTTAATTTATTTTATTTTAAAATAATAAAACGATTTTAAAACGATAATAATAATTTAAATAAAATAATTATAAACAAATATAAACCATTTGTATACTGGCGTTTTAATTTAATAAAAAAGGTGTTAAATTTTTTTCAAATGTAAGTATTTTGCTTAAAGATTTCCTGATATTTTATTTCGCCTCCGTTTTTTTCGATCTTACTTTTGCTTTCTTAAACGATACGATATAAAGAGATGGCCATTTAAATATTTAGATAATTCCAAGATGTTTGGTAAGTCTTGCTCGATAACCTCAAGTTGGGTAAATTTCAAAGAGCTACAAGATGAAGTCATCATATATGGCTGTGATCTTCATATCGATTGGGTACTCCGAGGTTTCGAGAGATTGATCTATTTCCATATTTGCTAAAGCGTGTTGGATATTATGGGACTAGAGTTTGACAGGTATCAGGAGTGATATGGTGTGGACATAATTACCCTCAGGGATACTTATGAATATGTCTGAAGAGCAATGTCTAAATGCCACCCTTTCCCAATATGTTAGGATTGTCAAAATACTATCACAGCAAGGTATGATGCCGTAGTTAACAGTAGTTACTGCTACCCATGTCACGTAAGAGACGACGTCAAACAAAGTCATCGGCATCACCCAGAGGCCTGACAAATATACAAGTTTGCTGTGTTGTAGCATATGCCTCCTCTAGAAACTGAGAAACTAACCTATACTCGGGACTGACTACTAAACGAAATCGGTACAACCCTTCCAGTTGACTTGTTGACAGAGTCTTAGAGGCCTGTAATTACACTGATATGCTTGCTAAGGCCTGTAAACAGACTATGTTAAGGACAAGTACTAAAGTACCTACATAGGTACGTAGATACATCATTTCGAGGTCTCTGCATTTTTAATTCGCACAAACACAACACAAACATAAACTCCCAACTTTATTTCAACTTCATTCAACATTTAACTCCTCCCATAACCGTCTCTTATTTTCGTTTACGCCAATACACTTTCGAGATGAGCGGTTTTATGACAACGGCAGAGGCGCGTGAGGCGTTAGATAGCCGTAAGGCTCTGGTTAATGAATTTCTCCAGGGGCTAGACGAGGCTGGACCGCCTCCCAATCGGACGGAGTGCGAGATGGAAATGGAGAAATTCCTCGAAAACCAGCGTCACCTCGACGAAGAGATCAAAGTCTTCGAGAAGAAGGCGCCCGAGGTAGAAGAATTTATCAACAAGATGAAGGACGACTCTGGGCGGATCGAACGCGACAGGCTGCTCACCTACTTGGATAGTCTAAGCCAGTCCGTCTTCCAGCATGCTCTCCTTGTGGTGGCTGCGAAGGAAAAGGACCTCAGCTTCATCCGTAACCTCTCGGCGGAACATCGGAAAGCACTCGGCATTCTTGATCGCAGGTCTGTCGAAGACAGTCTGTCTAATACGATCGTACAGAAGAAGAAGGAGTTGGAGGAGGCATCGATCGAATTGGCGAAGCAGAAGCAAGAGCTAGTCAAGAGCAACCGCGAGCTAGCAGAAAAAGACAGGGAACTGATGGGAAAGACTGACGAGATAAACACCGCCCGAGCCGAAGTCGCAACGCTCAAAACACAGATAGGCAAGAAAGACGAGTCGATCCTAGAGTTGAAGGCTAGCAAGGACGAACTATTCAACCAGATGACGACAAATATCGCCGAAGCCCACGCATTAACAGACAAACTCGCAACAGCAGAGCGCCGCCTATCGGAGCTGAACGGGCGCGTCCCCCAGCTAGAAGATCAGATCAAAGATAGGGAGCTTCGGCTGGCCAAGTTCTTCGCTGCGCAGTCCAGCTGGGAGGGCAACGACTACGGCGGCTGGTTGCCTTTCGCCCGCGTTATCACCGATGCTGATAGTGTTGTGGGATCGGATCCGCCCACGACTCTTCCGTGGGTGCTGCTCGAAGCTTGGCGAGACGATAAAGAGCAGGAGAGTACCGAATATTCTCACCCCTCCGACCTAACTACGATAACTTGCAAGCTATACGGGTTTGCCCTAGGAGGGCACTACCACGAGGAAGCGTTGTGCCTCCTCGGGCTACTAGTTCGACGCCTCGCTAAAGACTCCTCCGCCCACGTCGCCTCTGTCCTGCTTGCTTTGGACAAGTATCTCGGAATCGCGAAAGAATTACAAGTCTCTAGCGCCTCTATACACCTCCAGATCTTCCTCCTCGGCCTGTGGCGCGTGGCATCCCTCGTCGCGAGGCGATGGCCATCCGTTCCGGCTGTCGAAAGCGTCCGAGATCGGCTCGGGAAGCACCTGGACGGCTCTCCGCTCTTGAAGATCGAAGAGCTGCTGGGCGACGCCAACCTGGAAGCAACCTTTCGCGAGAAGTCGCCGAAGGAATGCCTCTTCTCGGAAGAATTAGTCATGGGCTTTGTTCGGCTACCTGAGCTGCGCAATTGGGTTTTCGTCGTCGATTTTGCTAACTGGACGGTCCGCATGTTCCATCCCTCGAGGAGCGCTTGGACTAGCATCTACGACATAACGGTCACGGCTGCCAAGCCAGGCAAGGATTTGGTCATTCCAGTGCACAATAAAGGGCAGTTCGATTGGATTCAGAAGAACATGTTTGTCAAAAATAGCTAGCTAGTTAGTACGTAGGTATCGAATAGATTGCTAGCTAGTTCGTCAAAGACTTGCCTATGACAGACATAATTAATAGCAAGATCGCTAGACCTAATGACGATGTCTTACCAAATAAAATCTACAGTTACTACGTATTACGTACCTGTTTCTAGCGAATCTAGCCGCACGGATCTTATAAAGGTCCTGTTTGAATCATGACATCACGTAATTAATTAATTTGTCGATCTGAACTACCTAGGACAAAGCAGCGTAATAGCGCAGAGCAAGATCCGAGAGGAGATAGTTGCCCGCCTAACAACAAATGAGGGTTTTGGACTTGCCGACCTCTCTTTCCTCGGGCTGGCGGAGAGCGATCTGACGCGACGAACTCTCTTTTGCCGTCCTCCTTTCCAGCTCTACGACCGAAACCCCCTCTCTCAGCCGATCTCCACGGACGAACCCGGAGAATGGGACATCGAGAAGGAATCGGACCCAGTCGAAATGGCGAAGCGCAGCCTGATTACCTGGAACGGCCAGGGAAATCTAGGCGACTTCATTAGCGACAAGTTCGGCATTTTCAGGTCCGCCAGAAACAGCAGGAGATACCTCTTTACGTTTAACAGGCCGCTTGTTATCCGAGTGCTCTACCACGCGCCGGCCGAGAACGCCCCCGGCTTCTCCAACCTAAGGCTTATCACCGTCCAAGGCAACTGCCTGACGCTTATACCAGGTACCGAGTCGGCCATGAAGATCGAGAAGCCTGAGAATAACTCGATCAGCTATACTCTTATCGCGGTTCTCAAACTGCGCTCGGCCGGCGATGACCGAGATCTGATCCGACGCTACAGCTTAGACGGAAGGGAATGCTGGCTCCTGTCCCGTTTCGCGTACGGCCACGGATCCTGGAAGTTGGGACAACCGGGTCAGTATATGCTTTTTTACATCCCGGCACCGGCAAATCCTTCCTTGGTTGCAGCTCCCGAAATCACCGACAGGCCCAAGGATTTCGCTATCAAGATCGCGGTGGCCAGAAGGATAGTTGGCTCCGAGGCTTCGTAAAGCTTCGGTAGCGGGTTTAGAAGGGAGAAACACGGGAAGTCGAAGCCAAGTAGCTTAGCTCATAATAGGACCTGAATACCGTGGCAACTGATACGTTCGTATTTGTAAAGCTGTTAGCTGGGGAAATCCAGAAGGCATGATGCCAAATGGGCATATTAAATTCCGTCGGTAAAGGGATCGGATTTTTATGCTGGTAATACCCTACGACTTTGCATTTACATTACTGGAGTTTACCGGAGATATCTTAAATCAGGTACGCATACGGTAGTATCTCGCTTGAACATGTTTCCAGTTGCAGAAGCCCAATTACAATAGTTGGCCACACTATTTTCATACAAGACACAGGATTCCAACTAACCGATAACCACTATAGAGGGTCTTTCCAGAAGGAAGTTGTGTTTGGCCGAAGTTATGATGGCAACGGGTTATAAGGAGGCTACGACCGAGATGGGCAATAGGGGAGTCGACTTTGTGCCAATAGAGACTACAAGTGCCTGTCTGATCGCAAGCAATTCTCAGGAGTTAGACTAGGTACCTCGGGGTATGTTAAAACAAGGTGTATCTGGTCTCGATATTCCGCAAACACTGTCACGATAGATCTACGTGTCACCCACACAGCACCAGGCCACATCCGCGGATGCAGCGCATACAGTCATAAGGCAATGCCCGAAACCGTATATATATATAATTTTTATTAAAAACATTATATATATTATAAAAATATTAAATATAAAATAAATAAATAATTAAATAAATAAATAATTAAATAAATAAATAATTAAATAAATAATTAATTAAATAATTAAATAATTAAATAATTAAATAATTAAATAATTAAATAATTAAATAATTAAATAATTAAATAATTAAATAATTAAATACTTAAATAATTAAATACTTAAATAATTAAATAATTAAATAATTAAATAATTAAATAATTAAATAATTAAATAATTAAATAATTAAATAATTAAATAATTAAATAATTAAATAAATAAATAAATAACTAAATAAATAAATAAATAATTAATTAATTAATTAATTAAATAATTAAATAATTAAATAATCCGTTTTTAATTATATTTATTAAATTTTTTTAAATAATGTTTTATAATTTTTTCCCGGTATATGTTTTTAAATTTTTAAATAAAAGTTTTATTATTTTAAATTATATATTTTATTATTATTATAAAAGTAAAAAAAATTTTAAATGAGGTAAAAAACGCGTTATATTTATAAATATTAAAAATTTAAATAAAAATTTAAATAATGGTAAACTTTAATTAAAATTAAAAAAGATTAATTTTTAAAAGTTTTTTTTTAATAAATTAACATTTATTAAAAACACTTTTATTTAAATTAATATAATTTTAAATTAATTTATTTAATTGTTATATAAAGTAAATAACCGTAATTATAATATAATTATTATAACGATTATAAAAAGTTATAACGTTAATTATAATTATTATGTAATTAATTAATTATATAAAAATTACTTATTTTAAGTGACTTTAAACTAGAATTTCGATTTTTTTTAATTCGTAAAGTTGTACTTTTTTAGCCATATTATTTCTTTAATTAATCATAACTTGTATAACTTTTTTTAAAAAAAATCGAAACTTTGGTTTAAAGTCATTTTAAACACGTCCTTTTTAAAAAATCGTTTTATAAAAAATAATATTAATATTATTTAATTAATAAAATTATTAAAAATAATAACATTAACGCGTTATTATAATAAATAATTATTAATTATATAATCGTATTAACTTTATTATTAAATTTATTAATTAAATTTACATATTTTAAGTCTTTTAAGATATTAAAAGTGGTTATAACGATTATAATTAATTATAACATTAATTGTAATAATAACCGTAATATTAATTATAACGGTAACCGTAATACGTAACGTGTAATAAAACTATATAAATATAAAAAAAGTAAAAAAGTTTAAGCAATATTATTATTATTTCCGAATATAAAATAAATTATTTTATATGTAATTATAACCGTAATTGTGGATATTATTGTAAATTTTAATGTAATATTTTTGGTATATTATTATATTAAAGTTTAATATATAAAAAAGTAATATTATATAAATATATAAAAAAAACGAAAAGTTTTAAATTATTATGTTAAAGTTAAAATATAATGCGTTTTATTTTATTTATACGTATTATTGGTTATATTATATTAGTTATAATAATTAATAATATTATTACCGTAAGTTAATTTTAACGTTTAAAGTTAAAATATAATAACGTAATATTGTATAAATATGTAAAAAGTTTAAGTAAATAAATATAATATATTATTAATTTTAAATTATTTAAATTAAAATTATTTTATATGTTATTTATTAATAAGTACGTATATATGGTAAAATAATAAATAAAGTAATTAAAATAATAATAGTATTAAAATTAATATATTAATAATATTTAAAAAAGAAAAATTATTTATAAGGTTATATTAAAGGTATGGTTTATTTATATGTATATACCTTTTTTTTATTATGGGGAAAAGGCTTTTTTTTTAATTATTATATAATTATTATTTACTTTATTTTCTTTTTACAATTAATTAATTATAAATCTTTTTGTTAATTATTTTGCTTTATTATTTTATAATTTTTTTCTTTATTTATTTTTTTAATTTTAAGTTAATTTAATTATTTTTTACCAATATTTATATAATTTTATTTAATAAGGTTTTTATTATTATATTAATTAAATTATATTTGTTATAAATTTAACAAATATTATCAATCTTTTAATTTTTATATAATTATTGTAAAGTTATAAAATTAATTATTAACCTTTTTTTATTAATGTTATTTATTTAAATAAAGTATTAATATAATAAAAAAAAATCGGTATATAAAACAAAAGAAACTTTAAAAAAACTTATCCGATTAAAAATTATATTAATTATATTATAAATAATATAATTTATGTTAAACCTTTATATTATGTTATAAATTTTGTTTATAAATATATTATAAATAATTTATTTATATTTAATAAATAATTAATAAATAATATTATTTATAATGTATATTTTATTGTTATAATTTATAAGTTTTTTATTACCAAATATAATAATGTAATTAATTTAAAAATTTATATCTTGGTTATTGGTAAATAATTTGTTTATAAAAATATATAAGCGTAGATTTTATAGGTTTAATTTAATAAAGTTAAAATTTTAATTTTTATATTTTATTTACCATTTAATTTACGCGTTTAATATTTTTATTTTTTTTAAATTAAGTTTTATATATTATATTATTATGAAATAATTAAAAACTATTTTAAATTAATAAATGGATATAATATAAACGCCTTTTACTTATTATTTTACGTAGCGTTTTATTATATTAAATATTTTTAAATTTAATAATTTTAACTTTTTAACTTATTTTTTTTAAATAGTAATAATTATTTTTTTGTAAATTATAATGTATAATCTATTAAAATTTTTAATTATTTCTGGTTTTAATATTTTTTATAGTTTTGCTTTAATATTTATCTTTATAAAAGTTTTATTTTTTTTAATTAAAAATTTTATAATATTAACGTTTAATATATTATTTGTTTAAAAATTTATAATATTAAACGGTTGGTTAAGATTTGTAATTAACAAATATAGGTTAAAAGTTAATAAAATTATGTTTAATTTTTTTTGGTGGTGTTTAAAATAAGTTTTAAATTAATATATGTTTAATTTTGTTAATCCATATAAAGGTTTAATTATTTGCAATAATATTTTTTTAAGGTATTTTTTTTTTAATTTTAAAAGGAAATATATGTATATTATTTTTTATATAAAAGTTTTAAACTATGTACAAATTATAATAATATTTTAAATTATTACTTTTATATTTTACCTTTTTAAAATAAATGTTAATGCAAATATTAAGTGTTAATTAATATATTAAATTGTAAAAGTATACGTTATAATAGATTTTTTATTAAAATTTTTGTATTTTTATATTATAAATTAAAATTTTTTGTATAATATTAACATATTTTTATTTTTAATTTTTTAAATTATATAAAATTTAAAAATAATTATGTTTTAATAAATTATTTTATTATATATTTTAAGTTGTAAAATACTGTTAATAAATAAAATATTTAATTTTTTTATATTAAAGGTTTTGTACGATTTTTTTAAAGCAATTATTTTTTTATTTAATTTTAATTTTAAGGTAAAAATATAATTATTTTTCTTTTTTATATTAATATATATTGCGTTTATGGAAAATATATTTAAATCTTTATTAAAAATAATTTTATAATCAATTGGATTAAATTATAATAACGGTAGCGGTAATTTAATTTTAAAGTTTATTTTTAACTATATATATGGTTTAATATATGTGTTATAAAATGTAAAAATATTTTTTAATATATTTGAAATAATTATTATATTTTTATTTATAACTGCGATAATTTTATATAATTTTTTCCATTTGTTTTTTTTACGGTAAATTAATATGTTATTATTAATTAATAATAATATAGGTAACGTTTTTAACGTATTAAATTTGTTTTATATATTTAAAGCGTTATAAATAGTTTTTTACGCCTTAACCTTTTTTATTTTAATTATAGTTTTTTATATTACTTAAACTTTTTATAATTATAATAATGTAAAAGGTAAATTTATATTAATTTTAAAATAAGCGTTAAATATTAATAATATTAATATAAAACTATTAAAATTTATTATATTATTAATAACCTTAATTATTATTTAAAAATAGGTTTTTTTTCAATTTTTATACTTTTTTAAAAATAATTTTATATATTTTCCAAATTAAATTATGATATTTTTTAACTTTATTAATAAACCAATATATTTTAATTAATATTTAATTATAAATAATACTTATAAAATAAACCTTATTGTAAAATTTAACGTTATTAAAATTAATACTTACATTATAATTAATAATATTAAATAAACCAAAATAAATATTAATT